AGAGAGAGAGAGAGAGAGAGAGAGAGAGAGAGAGATATGTGAATGCCTTCTGAACACCCAAGAATATGGGTATGGTTATCAGTCTAAACTGCAGTAGTAACATAATTTGCCCGTTCATGTATGAGATTCTTGAAACTTTCCTTAACTCCAGCCATATCACATTGCATTTGAGAACATGTAGGCAAATCCCGTTCAAAACAACAACAACAACAACAACAACAACAATGACGCAATAACAGCAAGAAGAAGAAGAAGAAGAAGAAGAACAACAACAACACAACGACAGCAACAACACTTCTGAGGGGAGGGGCTACAGCTGAAGGCTATCTCACTTATTAGTTGATCAAATGGTATCAAATTTAACTCATATAACAAGCATAGTAAGGAGTCTTAACATCCGCAAACAAATTTGAAAAAAAAGTTTTATTTCAAAGGATACGGTGCCCATATTGGATTTTGTTGACATGTCTTACGTAATTAATACCGCGCTTATTTTTTATGGACATAAATTGTTTCTTTTTCTTTGCATGCATGGTAGCAAAAATAGAAGTACAAATTTTTGTGACGATTTTTTTTCCAAACGTACAAGAAACATTTGTATAATTTTTTTCCTGAGGTAGTATTCAAGTTTGCAAAAAAATCCGTGAACATCCCTACTCCACACACTACCAACAAAAACCTATTCCATAAATCAAAAATTCATTACACACAGTATTAGTATTACATCTTTTCTTCATTCTGTAAAGATTTCATGAAGATTGGATGGAAAATGGAGGAATTCTTTTAAAAAAAAGTATATAGCAAAACCACATTTCGAGAAAACGGGCGATAAAGAAAAATAAAAGATAGACTCTATGAAGAAATGGTGGTGACAAACATGCCCCGGCATAGAAAAAAATAAGGTTTTAGGGGGTTCTTATGCCATGTATAGTTGTAAGAGAGGCTGAATACGCTAAAATGCCTACAATTCACATGATATACCAACTCGGTCGCCTCAAAACAAAAGTGTTTGTTTTCAGTTTCAGACGATCGAGTCGGACGATCTGCCCGATCCAGCCGTAGTGGGCATCCCGTATAAGAACGCACAACTGTACACCGTTTTCCTCACCAATCCCCCTTTCCTCATCACAATCGAGAAAACGTAAACAACGCACTGCCTTACCTTGTGTACCCTTGTATTTGAACTTAAAGAAATGTAGAACGCAGTAACATTCCGCCCCCCTCCCTCCCTCTCTCTCCCTGTCTCTGTCTGTCTGTCTGTCTGTCTGTCTGTCTGTCTGTCTGTCTCTCTCT